CCCACATGGTATTATTTGACAGGGATGATGGCCCTGGCAGGCGCGCAACCTTTGTTGCAGAAGTTCGAAGCACGTGAAAAAGTTGCTCGCAAGAGCCCGTTTGACAGAAATGTTGAAAAAGTATTGGGTTTCCTAAGAAATCCGCAAGAGCGCGCGGGGTGAATTTTTGAAACCCTTTGTTTGAAAAACCTTTGGGTTTTTCATGTTTTTATGTGAAAGTCGCTACGAAGACTAAGGTTTTGGAAGGGTTTCGTCTTGCGCGCGCGAATGTGTACTTCGTGCCATTTGTTGCAAGGGATTCTTGAAGTTTGGTCATGTTAGAACAAGAAATGTCCACTTTGCCTTATTTTTTGCAAGGGAAAACCGATCGTAACAACACAACCGGATCTGGTATACCCCGTTTTGCCTGAGACTTCCTCACGAAAATGATGAAAATGTGGCTGCGGCCTAGGCGCGGCGGGGGGGGCGCGCACCAGGGGTCCCAACAATAATTATTCTTTAGAATTAATAATGTTCAACAACACCAGCAACAACAACAACAACAACAACAACAACAACAACAACAGCCACAACAACATCAACAATAACCTCAAAGGCAACAACCGCAACAGCATCAGCAACAACAACCGCAACAACGGCAGCAGCAGCAACAACAGCAACCACAACAACAACAACAACAACAACAACAACAACAACAGCAGCAGAGGCCGCGACAGCAGCAACAACGACAACACCACCACCAACAACAACAACAACAACAATCATCAGGTTAATACTGTTCGCTTGTATCTGTTCGCGTGCAACTCATCACGTATATCCCAAACCCTCGGTACCCGCCCTCTTCGTCGTCGATCATAGGCCCCTTGGGGGCATACCTTCCTTACCCTCCACGTGCATTTAGTGCAGGCCCTAAGACAGGGGAAGAGAGGACGGATGGAAGGGGGAGGGGGAAAGATTGAGCACGATGGAGCACGAGAGAAGTTAGCAAGAGGGGGGCTAGGACCAGAAAACACGTGGCAGAATCAGACGGGCAGATCGGCCAGGCAGACCCTAGCGGGCGGTTCGGGAAGGCGGGCCCAGGCTGCCAGGTCGAGAAGGCGGGTTGCTGAAGCGTGAATCCTGCATGGATCGCGAGGAAGTCTCGAGCGATAGCGCAAGTCCCAAGTAAATCGTTAGAAAGGCCACAGCGACAGTGTGATTCCTTAGCGTCGAAGGCGCGGCACCTGAATAAATTGCAATCAACTCCGAGCGCGATTCCTGCATGAACTGTGAGAAGTCCGGCGCCAGAGCGCGAGTTTAGAATGCATCTTGGAGAAATATGAGGCGGGAGCCGCTGCTGTTGTAAACTGGGACCAAAACACACAACTCTGAGGCCCAAGCCGCTCCCTGATAAAAAACTGGGTGCGAGCCCCCGGAAGGGCACTTCAATTGAAAAAACAGCATGTGCCCCGGAGGGGGGATCAACGATAATTATTCGTCAATGGTGGGAGTTCAACCACATCAACAACAACGCCCTCACGAAAGCGACTTCCTTGCGCCTCCTCCCGCTTCCTCCCACCTCCTGGAACCGCCTGACCCAACCTCCTACCCCTACCCACTTCCTCTGTCAACATAATGATCCTGTCACCTCACCCCAATACGTAAGTGGTTGAGAAGGGTAGCTCTGCCAACCCCCTTCTTCCACTTCGGAGAAGGACGCCCCCCTCCCCACCCCCAACCCCCCTGGGTCAGGAGGATGGGGAAGTGGCCACCAAGTAGTTTACCCAAAGAACACAAATTGGCTCCGCAAAACCCTCAGGTAGCAAAGGATAACCTGTAAAATGTTACAATGTAACCCAATATGCATGAGTATACCTTCTGACGTGCCCCGGATAGGCCCACAGACCACCCCAAGACGGCTTCAAATGTCTACGTAGCCTCCCACGGACACACCAAAGACGTCAGGAAAAAAAGTAATACCCCAAGAGGCGCGATGTAGCCCAAAAAGCCAGCCAACCGGCGAACAAGTCGACCAACTAGCCCGCCAACAAGCTATCCACCTACCCATCGAACCAACCCTACCAATGGAATTCGCAAAAAAAAAAAAAAAAAAAAACGCGATGGTTCCAGATCGGCGGTACAGGCCCGAGGCCACTACAATATGGCGCGAGCTATACGGCACAGATATGGTATAAGAGCTTGGAACCTCGAGCTCCAATTCCGGAACAAACATCCCACCCTCCCACCCGCAACGTCTCGGCAGATCTCAACTGGCGCAGTCGCGCGAGGACTTTGCTCATACAGATCCATGAGTCGGGCGGGATGGTGATGGTGGTGGTGACGATGATGGAGAGGGCGACGACGACGATGACGATGACAACGAGGTTGGCGATGATGATGGCGACGTTGGTGATAGTGATGATGATGGTGGTAACGACGACAATGGCAATTGCGACGCTGCCGATGCTAGTGACGGTGGTGCTGATTGATGAGAATGATGCGGACATGCGCGTGGGCAGAAGCCTGGACAGAGTTTGGATTGAAAGCCAATTGCGTTTTCATATGATCCTGAACACCTCCACTATGAAATGCGGATATAACGAGTGGAGCTGCAGACACGTCGCATTCCACGCGAGGAGACGTGTGCGTGTGTGACTGGCATGGTGCCACCTGAAAGAAGCAGCCCGTGCGCAATGACTGTTGCATGAGAGCGGCATGCTTGCACGCGTAGCGCCCGCACGGTCTCTTCTTTTGCCAGTGCGGTGCCAGAAAACATGAAAATGGTATAGGATGTCAGCGAGAGCGCGCACAGAAGTACGGCGTGCTGTATGGCTAGATGGCCACGTGAACCCTACCCCCACACCCCACGGTTTCTAAGGGGGGGTGGGGGTTCACTCCGCTCGGGACCTCCCGAACGAAATGAACCTCCACCCCCCCCCCCTAGAAATCGTGGGTGGTCGGGGTAGGGTTCACGTGTGGCCACCGAATGGTACAAGCAATGGACTGTGATAGCGCCTGCGAAATTATGTGGCACACCAAGTGGGTTTAAAGAGACCTGTGCGCATGCGTGTGGCCCGCAACGTGCATGCGAGATGCATGCACTGAAGTCGCACTTTTGAAATCACGGCGAATAGTCCGTGTATAGCGGGTGACGGGGGTGGAAAAGGCACCTGGCGGAGATTGTGCAGACTCGTATGTAAACAGGCTGCGAAACATATACGAAAACCAATACGCGGAGAGACTCTCTAAGACCGACCTCGGAATGGAAATATAACTTGTTCGTAAGAGAACGAAGTGGATGAGGCGCAAGCTGTGTGGTGCAACACATACGGTGCAATGTTCGTGTTGCACTAGTTGTGGTGCAAGCTATGCGGTTCCATGTGTGCAGGGCAAATGATGTTGACCGCATCCGCGAACGGCACCTTCGAATCCACGAGCAAGAATCCCACCCGACCACCCGCAACTTGTGGACAAAACTCAAGAGGAGTAGGTGAGCATGCTGATCTGACCTCGCTCGCCAATCTCACCAGGCGCAATGACGCGGGGGGGCCTGCTCTTGCAGATCCATCACTCTAGCGGGCGAGTGCTGACAGTGGCCCTACCTGACGAGGGCGACGATATCGACGATGTCGACGGCGGTGATAACAAGAAAGATGATGGTGATGATGACGAAGGGGATGCCGATGCTGGTAGTGTTGATCAGGATGGTGCCGAAGAGGAGCATGAATAAGTGCCAGCGCGCAGGAATGAAGAGCTGTTGGATCAATCTGACTTGGACAACCAGTGGGTTTACGTGTGTTCCTGAACACAATGATAAAAACACGTGGCTTTGCAATAAGTTCGACGCGCGCGCGGAGGCGCGCGCGTGTGGCCCCCATGGTACTATTTGAAAGAGCTGGCGGGTGCGCGATGATTGTTGAACGTGTTCGACATGCGCGCGCGCGGCCCGCATGTTCGCATTTGGCCGCATGGGCAAAACAACATGCTTCTCTTTTTATGTTTGACAAAGTGCGCGCGCAGAAATATGACAGTCGTCGCTGGTTGAACAGAAATACCCACACATGTTCTTCATTGTTGTTGAACAAGTGCTTCTTTGCATGGTTCGAACAAAATTTGTTGTTTTGAATGGTTGTGATATGCGTGCGGCGGCTCGCGCATATGCCCCATACTAGTTGCCGCAAGTGCTTTGGACATACCGTAGCTCTTAGATCAGAACGTGTGCACTGCATGAGATCTATTGCAGGGGATGACTGGGGGGGCAGGTCGATACCGGCCTGGCTGGGATTGCATCATTCGAGATTTCGGATCAACGATCACGCAGCATCAATGTGACAAAGGAACGGTACCCTGAAGGGCAGCGCTCACCCTGGCCTCGGTGGGAGTCGGCCATGGGGGGGGGGAAAGAACGGTGCCCACTTCGGGCCCTGGAGGTCCCCTTCTGGGCCCCAGAGGGCCCCTTTGGGGGTCGTCAAGGGCCCCTTTTCTGCAGCCCTCGCTGCCCCCCCCCGCTGCGCGGCCTCCGAGGCCACCGCACGGGCGGCGACGAGGTGGCGACTGGCGCCCACCGCTCGGCAAGCCAAGGCATGCCGGGCCAGCGCACGGGGCGGGGACGAGGCGGCCCACCGCGCGAAAGTGCGGAACTCCGGCCGATTACTGCGAGGGGTGCAGAGATCCTGGGAACCTTCGTACAAGACCTGCATGGGGACATCACACAGGAATGAACCTAAACGGTGTTTTTCGTTTTCGTTCTGGTTTCGTTTTCCCTCGTCTTGTCTTCAATCCGCCTTTAGCGCAAAACGAAATCGAAACGAAAACGGACCACGAAATCGCCAAAACACCGTTTAGGTCCACCCCTGACATCACATAGCTTTAAAAAGGAATACGTAATTTCGAACTCGTTTCGAAAAACGCGCCGTGCTGGACACGTGTTGGGCTTCCTGGCTACCTGTCTCCCTCTTCGACTGCGACGCCTCCCTCCGTGATGCGGTGCCCCGGTGCTGCCTCTGGCCGACCCCCGCGGCCTTCACGGCCCGGGTTGCCCCGGTCGTCAGGCACTCGGCCTTGAAGACGGAGCCGAAGGCGCCCGCGCCCAGCAGCCGCTCCTTGTCCACGGCCTCGCACCGAACCGGGCGCGCTAACAACAGAACAAGCAGCAGCCGCCAGCCCTGCCAGGCCCGACGGTGAGGCTTCGCAGTGAGGCCGCGGGCGGTGGCCGCCGTTCCCCTCTGGGCGCGTCCAACGTCGAGATTCGGACACGATCCCACGAAGGGAAGCTCCACCACTCGAATGCACCGGGAGGAAGTGGAGGCGTGGTACGGGCAGAGGTGGGGTCAGAAGAAAGCCGTCCTGAATGGTCCCTGGAAGAAGGAATTGCGAGCATCCAGCTGGGTTCGTTCTCTAGCCCCACCCTGGGATAACCCCCCCTCTACGAGCCCCCGCGTTCGAATCACACTCCAGGCACCAGCACATGCCCTCTGATCGTCCACGTCAACACCGAAGGGAATGAATCAGTCTTGCCCTCCCGCTCCCCTTCTCGCTACTGCTGCCTCGTCTTGCTTCTCCTCCTCCTCCTCCTCCTCCTCCTGAGCCCGACTTCGTGAGGACAAGATTGCTTGAGCGTGGAGTCGGTGCCGCTCTCACCTTGAAGTTCTCCGTGAGGCTGCTGGCTGAAGTCGTTCTCACGAATTGCGAGTGGCTGATTGCCCCCAGCTTGGACTCCTGAGGGAATGAGACGGGGTAAGAGGCGCACGACGACTTCCTGTGGAGAAGAGACGTAGGCGAGACCCTGGACTGCCTAGGCTGGGGAACGCTTATGAACCTGATCGGACCAGAACGGGAAGCGCCGATGTTGTCAATTGTGCTCGCAGGAGGAAAAGAAGAAAGGAATGGTGGCGAGGACAAGGCGGCAGATGACGGGGACAACAGCGTGAATGACGGGGAGGGCAGCGAGGGGAGCAGGAGGACAACGAGTAGAAGAAACCCACTGAAACAACACAAGCCTCGTAGGAGGGTTTTGAAGCCTCTTGGGGCCTCTTTTGGGCCGCTCGGGTGCCGCTTGGGGGCCTCTTTGGGGCCACTTGGGGCCTCCCGGGGGCCTCTTGGGGCGGAAGGCTGGAATTGTCGATTCGTGTTCCCCCTCTTTGGCCCTTCTTGGGGCCGTCTTGGGCCCCTCTTGGGCCGTCTTGGGCGCCTCTTGGGCTGTCTTGGGGCCCTCTTGGGCCATCTTGGGGCCCTCTTGCGGGCCTCCTTGGCCATGTTGGGGCAATCTCGGGGGCCTCTTGGGCCGTCATATGACGTCGAAGCTCGAAATGGCGACAACCCCCCAAAAGATGAAAAAACAAAAAAAAAAAAAAAAAAACATATGGGAAATCAATGAGTGTTGCCTCTCGGGACCCTCTTCGGAGGGCTCTCGAGGCTCTCTTGGACATCTCGAAAGCTGCTCGGGCCGTCTTGGAACGCTCTTGGGCCGTCTTGGGACCCTCTTGGGTCTCTCTTGTGCTGTCTGGGGGGTGCTTGGGGTGATCTGTCGCCGTCTTGGAGGCCCCTTGGGCCATCTTGGGCTCGAAATGGCATTTTGTTCCAGAAATCGTGTGTAAAAGAAAGATAAGCTATCCCCTGGACTGCCTAGGCTGCGGAACGCTTATAATAGAATCCGCCACCGTGTATTGTGCACGTTGAGGCGCGGAAGAATGCCAAGGGCTGCCTGGCAGGACTGCTGCATTCTAATCAGAAGCCCCCGCCTCCACTAGCGTCTAACTGCATGCACCGCCCCCCTCTCTCGATCCCTCGAAAGAAACAATGCCCCGCGTCCCAAGCCTCTACTAAGACGGCCCAGGCAGGCAACCAAGGGCGCCCAGCTGCCTCGAAGACGGCCCAAGATGGTCCCAAGGCGGCCCAAGATGGGCCCGAGAGGGAAAACAAGAGGCTCCCCAACTGGGCCCGAAGGCCAACAAAATGTTGATGTCCAACTCATTGTTTGCAGGATGTTCGCATTCTCGCCCTCCCGAACTTCGGTCAGCAAAACGGCCCAAGGAGCCTCCAAGATGGCCTCAAGAGGCCCCCATGACAGTCCCAAGATGGCCCAAGAGGACCCCATGATGACCCAAGAGACCTCCAAGACGGCCCCAAGCTGACTGCAGAGGGCCTCTGGAGTGAGCCCATGCGGTCTCAGACGGCCCCTCGACGGCCCCAAACGGCGCCCAAATGGCCCCAGCCCCAAGACACCCCAAAACCGAATCCAAGAGGCTTCCGAGAGGCCTCGAAATGAGATCCCTGCAGGCATCCCAGAGGCCGCTGACCTGCAACCCAGGCCCGGTGGCAGCATGGGCCGAAGGTCGCTACATAGTAAAATAATCCGCGTTTGCACGCGCGACGTGGGTCAGCTGGGTCACCCGGGTGACCTGAGTGCGCGCGCGTACGCGTGCGCGCCTTCGCTGGTGAGCCGATTTCAGCTAACATAAAAAAGGCGCCATGTTGAGCTCGAAACCCAAGTGGGCCCTCGGCGCGCATCACCAGGATGTCTGGTGAACAGCGTCGCGAAGCCGAGGTCTGCGGGAGGACTGACGGAGGCCGCCGCGAGCACGCGCGCGCAGAGGTGCACGCGAGCACGAACGACGTCCAGATGTCATGAGGATTCCCAAAGTACACGTCGATCGAGGCCGCCTGCACATCAGCACGCATTTGAACATCAGCAGCTATACCGATAGATCTACAACATGCGCGTTCATGTGCACTGCCCGTCAAATATTGCCCAGGGGGGCAATTGAGATATTCGGTGGCGAATGAAGAATCGTTTTTTACGTTCTCGGCGACAACCCGGATTGTCCAGGAGGAGAGGGGAGGAGGAGGTGCCGGCCGATACCCTCACCATTTCGCTTTGGGCAGCCCCACGTATGCCCGCGCGCGCCGCTACTGCGCACCCCCTTCGGACCAGCGCCAACGGCAAGGGCAGGTTATCCAGGGGGTCGGTGGGTCCATCGCCGGACCCGAAACAAAACACTCTGTCGGTGACATTCGCGGCACGCGGAGGAAGGTGATGTCATCATTGTTGAACTTCTTCCGCTTTAACGACTGAAAACAACTGGGCATGCGAGGTAACTGTTCTGCCCACTCCGCTCAGACGATACTCTACGCAAAAGAGACGAGCCACTAATACCAACACCACGGCCCTTGGAACCGCGCGAAACAGCACCACATAAGCACAAACATAAATCTGGCGACCACCCTGGACTTCGCTCTTGTTCTGGGGAACGGCGGAATAGCGAAGTCTTTCAAGTATGAGCGCACATACGCACACCGCGGATTAAGCTTCAATAGAACGGCCCTGGCAGGAGAGTTCGTCAGTCAATTGATCCTCTAGCGGGATCTGCATGATCATCGGCTGCGCCCGTAATACAACCCGTTGTGCCCTGCGGCCTCCAAGAACCCAAGAGGCGGCTACCAAGACCCACAAGGTCCAGCATGGTCCGCCTCTTGTTCGCAGAGGCTCCCAAGACGGCCCCAGGAGGTTCTCGCGACAGCCCAAGGCAAAGCCTCAAACAGGCGTCCAGGAGGATCCGATCGCCGCCTTCGACGTCCCAGGAAGAGATCCGAAGAGACCCCCAGAATTGCCTGAGAGGCCCCTGGAAGGCCCCCAAGAAGGCTTCACTTGCTTCTAGCGTGTCAGGAGGAGCACAAGCACAAACACCAGGTGGATCGACGCAGGCAGCTCAATCGCTCTGGGGCCGAACAGTGGTGGACACATCCGAACAGCCCCCAAGAGTGCGCAAGAGGCCACTGGGACGGGGAGAGCGGGGCCCCAAGGGGCTCCCAGGGGGCGACTTCAACGTTCACGGGAGGCTCCCACTGGGAGTCCACACGACCCACGTTTCGTTATGGTGCTGCTCGTTCGCCCCCCTCTCGAGCCCTTCCTGCCCGTACTCGACCAGATCGGACCAGACCGCATCACACAAAACCAGACCACGGTACAGTCAAACCATGTGGGAAGGATGCGCGGTAAGTATGCAAGGGCCTTGGAAGGCAATGTCGACGCGTTGCGAGCGGGGAGCGGCCAGCGAAAGTGGCCAAGGATGGGCCGAGGATGCACGGATGCAAGGGCACCCATGGGAAAGTTACTCATCCTTGCCACGCGGGTTTACTTTACCTTAGATCGTACCCTACCAGACGCGCCTGCAGGACACGACCAAACCAGACCACAAAACAACTCACGGACAGGAGACAGCAAGAAGCCGATCAGACCAGATGAGAAAAAGCCCCTCGGGGCAGGTCTGCCCCCCTGCGGGTTTGCGGACACACGTTGGTGGCATAGGGGAGACAACCAGGAGGAGGCGCGGGACATGAGGGAAGTGCAGGAACAGCCTGGCCAGATGAGTCAGGGGAGTGATCCTGAACCCCCTGAGGCTCCCTCTTCTTTTGCGGGCCCCAAGCCTGGATTTGGGCCTGCCCCCGCCGACGCGTCCGGGAACGGGGAAGCGGAGGCAGGACCGCGATGCCCCAGCAGAGAACCCTGATGGCGGGCACCAGAAAGAATGGCGAGCCACCCCTTGCCACGTCCACTGACAACTCGTAGGTCGGGCATGTCCCCCTACAGTGGGACTTTCGGTGAAAAAATAAAAACACCCAAAAAATACCAGAAAAATATTCAAAAGTAGTCACAAAACAGTCCCCCGACTATTTTTGGATTACTTGTGGATATTCCCCCTGTAGAAGGACGGGCCCGACTTAAGACAAGACAACTCCCCTGGCGCGCCCCCCGGCACGTCCGTTCACACGTCCCCTGCTACGAACCTTTGCACCCCGCACGTCGCCTGCCCCCACGCCCCCTGGCGCGCCGGCGCGCCCCAGGACCCGTCTCCTGGCTGTCGCTTTCGCCCGGAAGCCTCGGGCCAACTAAACACATGGATACAGGGGAAACCCAAAGGTACCGATACCGCTGCTCCCCCGATCTCTCCTGGGGTGCGTTCTGACCAGGACCTCGAGGCGAATCTGGCGGTGGCGACGAGGCCTTCCCAGGAGGTCCAACGAGGGGAAAGCGATGGAAAGGCAGCGGCATGGGTACCTCTTCCTCCTCTGAGATGCCTCCTCGCTCGGAAACCCTCGGGCCCCACAAAACACACCGGTGCCTTCCGTTCGGGAGCCTGCCCCCCAGGCCACTTCATGCCGTCGCTCGGACGTCCATTTCCCGTGCACTGTTCGGTTTCGTGCGTGTTTTTTTTGCTCGATGGTCCAGGATGGTCCTCGATGGTTCTCGCCGAGAAAAAATGCACACGTCCGAGCGATGCCAAGTGGAGCATTCCCGTGCCGTCGGAAACGTCAAACCCCTGGCTCCCTCATCGCCCTCTCTCGCCTCCGCCTCTGCTATCTCCGTCGCACCCTCCTCCCCGCTGAAGCGAAGTCACGGCAAGAGTCCTTCCACGAAGCTTTCCGAAGAACCTCGGCATCCGTGATCGACGAGGGCGACGAGTCGCAGTCCCCTGCAAGATTGGGGCGCAAAGAGAGGGGGGGGGAAAATAAAAAGCAAGAGAAGAAAGAGATAGAGAGAGGGAGAGTGCGGGATAGAGAGAGAGAGAGAACGAGAGAGAGGGAGATCAGGGCGCCCGAAATGGGTACGGATAAAGATGGGTGTGATGCCCAACAACACCTGTCCAACATCGACAGCGGTCGGTGTTGGGCAGGCGAGCTTGTGTGCAAAAGGGACAACGACCGCGGCGACGCCAACAGCAAATCCTGCTCGGAATAAGCAAGAACTGTTTTACTTTTTTAGAGGGCAGAAAATCCACCCCCATGACACACCCCGGCAAGCGAGGCCGTTTAGTACTCGCACCCAAAGAAGGAACCGAACAGATCAGGGCTTTCAATAAACGCCCAGGGCCGTTTAATCAACGCAAATTGTCCGGTCCGGGCGGTGTTTCCTCCCTCGATCTGTACCTATTGCTTCCTTGCCCACGCCGGCTTCCCCGAAGATCGGCAGCGAGCCCAGGGGGGAAGTGAGGAGGGGCGGGCCTTCTGCCCCCCCGTGGCCTTCCGAGAGGTATATCCCAGGCCTTCCCCGAGGACACAGGGCACCCGCCAGAACCCCCGAGGGCTTCTCGGAGGCCCCGCCGCCCTCTGAGGAGGCCTTCTCCTGCTCATCTCCCCCCTATCGCTGAAGGGGCCCAGGGACACACAAATGAATAGACACAAAACAGGTTTCCCTATATTTTCTTACATGTTCTGGGCTTTTGTCTCCCCCCCCACACTTCCCATATTTTCACATATTTTCTTGGGAGTCGACGATTAATTGTATCTGTGTGTTTTTTTCTCTCCTGACTGAGGCGCTCCTGGCGCGTGCCCCGGCAAGGGACCCACGACTGCCCGCCGGGCGCGGCAGGCGGCCGCGCCGCCGCGCGCTGTGCGGCGAGCGGGACGCAGAAGTGGGGAACCGAACTCTATGCACCGACGCCTTTGTCTGGACTCACACTGAATCTCGCACAGGAAAGCGGCTCCTGGTGCATACGGGATCCTGGTGTATATATTCTTCGCTGTTTCCCCAGGAAAACGGGGAATAAAGCATACACCACATCACCCCGACGTCGTCCCCCCGACCCTCCAAAAAGTCCTGGGATTGAAAAACGGCCCACCACTGGCCATGTATATGTTCCAGCTTCCGAAGAAGGGCATGCCAGTGCTGTGCGTGCTCGCTGGAGGCCTGTGCCCGACAGGATCGTGCGGCGCAGCCGTCTTACAGCACGTCGTGGCCCAGGCGTCATGGCGCGCCCGCCGCCGAGCATGTGCTGTAAGACTCCTGGGCGCACGCGTCGCCTCAGCTGGGCGCGGGGCACGCATGGTCCAAGTGCTTGGTCGGGCACAGCCGAGCGAGCGTTCGCGTGGGGCGTCGACCACGCCCGTGGAGGGAATGGCGGTCAGGGGCATCTCCCTAGATAGGCTGGCGCCACCAAGAGACCTTGGTCGGCGGTCTGGGGCCGAAGCGGGCGGCCTTGCGGTCGCGCCTGGCGTGAGGTGCTGGTTGCGGCTGAGGCGGAAGCCATCAGCGCGGTGGTGGAGGCTGCTGCGGTACGCTGGGCAAGACAGACAGCATCCTAGGCTTAGGTCGGGCACGTCTCCCTACAGGCGGGTTTTGGACGAAAATTAGAGAGTATGCAAACATCAAAAATAATCAAACAATCGTCCCCTGACTATGTTCTGACTATTTTTGAACATTCCCCATGTACAAGGACAGGCCCGACTTACTCCTAGGCGGCCTGGAGAGAAGCGTGGCAACGTTGGGCGGCGGCAAGGCGGTCAGGCCCCGCCTGGCATTGGTGCTCAGACGCAGCCAGCCGCGCGTGCTGCGGCGCAGGGTTCTGGGCCGTCGCGGCGGCAGCGGCGAGGTGTGGGCCGGGCGCTGCCGACGGTGGAGCTGCCTGCGCGGGCGAGGACCGCGGGCTCATGACGGTCGTTGGTCGCGTCGCTGCGCTGAAGGGGAGGGGCCGAGTCGCTGCTCCTGGACAATGAATTGAGCAGGGACCGACCGTCCCGGCATTCCTATAGGCCTGGCACAAAATGTTCTTAGAGCCCAGAGATTTTCTACGAAGAAAACACTGTTCTTAGAACATAGACCCGATGTGTTAAAACAAGACAGTCCCGGCCAGAAAATTTCTATGAGTATGTCGTGGAAACCACAATAGGTCCTCAGAAAATTGCCTGGTAGGCCGACGTAGGCACGCCAGGGCGCTTCGCCCCTGCTTGCATGAGGCAGACCCCTCTGGCCAGATGATGACGCTGATCGCCCCGCAGCCGCCCGGCATCCCTGCACCGCGCTGCCCCATGGCCGGCACAGGCCATCGTCGGCTGGGCCACTCGGGTCCGGGGTGTGGTGCGGAGGGCCCGTCCAGCCGGGGAGCCGCCGCGGAGCGGCAGCTGCGGACACCTCCCAGCGCCGGGGACGGGGTGGAGGTGGAGGACGGGAGACGAACGAACATCGCCCCCTTCGTCGTGGCTGGGTTCAGCATCTAGGTGGCTAGTGTGTGGGGGGGGGGGGGCGGCGTCGCCCTTGCCCGAGGCGAGGAGAGCACTCCACATGACGCCATCGGAGTACAGAGGTTGCAGGAGTCGCCCGGGGTTGCTCTGCTGGCGATGCGAGGAATCGTTCGGCCGCCCGTGTGGTACCGCTGCCTGGCCAACAACGCGCCACGCGGCAACACCTCGTGCACTCTTATGTCGCAAACAGCTGGACAATGTGTGGCTTCAGGCTAATCACGGGAACAGTGCAGGAAGCTCTTGCCCCGAACAAACCCATCGGTGCGAGTACAACTGCGGTTTTAGCCTGGACAGGTTCGAAAGGATAGCCAAGGTTCAACCAATACTGAAAAGCAAATCCACTTCGTCATCGACCTCCTTGTTACAATGCTGCTGCTCCTCCTTCTCCTCCTCATCATCCTCCTCCCCCTCCTCCCTCCACCCGCGTTTCCTCGAGGGAGTGACTATGCTCCTGTACGAGTCGCGAACGAATCGACTGACACTGAGGTAGGCACATCCGCATGATGCTTTATATATATATACATACATAGACATGTGTACATCTGTATATACGACATACAGCCATAGGCGAATCCAAATATACATACAAAAAAGTCGCGAGCTTGATCCAGAGCTCTCGCCGCTCCTCCCTCCAGAACGCTGGCCTGATTTCTTCACGAAGCTCGTCGCCCTGCACCCCATCGCAGCCGCCGCCCGCGGGCGCGGCGGCGTTGGTGCCGCGCCCCTACAGACCGGCCCATGGCTCGGGCCAGGGCGCGCGCCCCTGGAACCTCACCAGACCCCGAGGAGAGGCAGGGGGAGCGCCGTGACCCGACTCCTCGTCCTCCTCCTCCTCCTCCTCCTCCTCATCCTCCTCCTGCTCCTCCTCCTCCTCCTCCAGCTCCTGCTCCTCCATCTCCATCTCCTTCTCCATCTCAGAATATCCTCTCCTCCTCCTCCTCCTCTCCTCTCCTCCCCCTCCTCCCCCTCCTCCTCCTCCTCCCCTCCTCCTCCCCCCCCCTCCTCCTCCTCCTCCTCCTCCTCCTCCTCCTCCTCCTCCTCCTCCTCCTCTTCCTCCTCCTACGACCCGGCTCCCCTGAGCTGCTCTTGAGTGTGCACCACCACGGTCCCCGCCTGGCGCACACGGAGCCTTGGCTCAAGGCGTGGACCCGCCCGGCTGGGCCAGAACACCCCGCAAGAACATGAGACCCTCCGCCGGCCAAAACACTGAGTGCACACTCCCCAGGATGCACGAGAACATCCAACAAGCACGAAGAACAATAGGGCACCCTCCCCGAACCGACCTCGATCTTACACCTCGGGCCGACCGCACTGTGTTTGCCCTCTCGGAAACCTGGGGGCCTGGCCGCCACTGGGAACCCAGAAGCCCGACCGCCAGCCGAAACCGGCCCGCGACTGTCGCCCACACCCTCAACTAAACCGGGGCAAATCCAGGCGCCCTGGCAAGGGGTCCAACTAAATGAGCTTCGAGTGCCGCAAGGCAATCGAGAAGCAGGGGCGAGCAAAACGGCGGCATGCGAGCACCGCCACTGGAGCTTTCGGTGAACTCGCTGTGGGGGCACGAAGCGCGCAAACGGTGAACCGCAACCTGGGGCGGGTATGACTTGCGGGCCTTGGCACTAGGACCCTCCGTGAACGCCCCCATACAGGGCCACGAAACCCGTGACGGCGCTCCAAATTGGGAGCGGCTACGCCATGCGAGCACCGCTGCTGGGGCGTTCGGTGGAGCTCCCTATGGGGCCACGAATCGTGTTATTGGTGTGCCGAAATGAAGCGGCGGCGCCGTTCGGACCCTGGCCGTTGGGCCTTACCTGAAAGCCCGCATGGGACCACGAAACGATAGTGGTGTGCATAAATGAGGCGGCGGAGCTGTGCGGACCCTGGCACTTGGGCCTTACTCGGAGCGCCCTCCTATGGGCCACCAGACGTGTGATGGACAAGCTCAAACGAGGCTGCGACGCCATGCAGATACTAGCAATTGGGCATCAGTTGGAGCTCAGATTGGGACCACGAAGCGTGTTAGCGGTGTGACGAAATGAGGCGGCGACGCCATGCGGACACTGTTAGTTTGGGCCTTAACTGGGGGGCTCCATATGGGGCCACAGATGTGTGAGGGGTGTGCCGAAATGCGGGCGCGACGCTATGCAGACCCTAGAAGATGGGCCTCACTTAGAACTTCTTGTGGGGCCACGAAACCTATGAGGGGTGTGCCAGAATGAGGCGGCGATGCCATGAGGATCCTTGCAGTTCGGCCGTAGTTGGAGCTCCCAATGGGGCCGCGAAACGTTGTAAGGAGTGTGAAGAAATAAGGCGGCGACGCCATCCTGACCCTGGCATTTGGGCTTTAGTGAAAGCTGCATGTGGTGGCGCGAGAAGTGTGAGCGGTGTGCCGACATGAGGCTGAGATGCCATGCGGACCTTGGTATGTCGACCTTAGCTGGAAATCCTTACGGAGGCACGAAACATGTGAGGGGTATGCCAGCATGATGCGGCGACACCATGCGGACCCTCACAACTGGACCTTACTTGGAGCTTCATGTTGTGCCACGAGACCGTTTGAGGGGTGTGCCAAAATGAGGCGACGGCGACATGCGGACCCTGACGTTCAGGCCTTAGTTGGAGCTTCCTATGGGCCCACGAAACAGACATGCGGAGAGCAGAGGCAGGAATGTGAGGAGGGAGGAGGAGAGTGAGGAGGTGATGAACGCGGGTCGCTGCATCTTTGAAACGAGGACCCGACGCCACAGCATGACTGGTAATAAACCGGTGTGGTAACATTTCTCAGACACTCTACGCATGCCATTTCTGTCTCTGTTTTTCTCTCTCTCTCTCTCTCTCTCTCTCTCTTCATATATATACATCTCCCTCTCTCTCTCTCTCGCGTTCTCTCTCTCTCTCTATATCTCTCCTCCTCTCTCGCTCTCTCGCTATTCATCGCTCTCTCGTCGTTTCTCTATACATATGCACATACATGGGCCGATATACATATACACATATGTAAAGTATGCATCGGTGTGTGTACTCGGCATTTCCTCTCCCTCACGTGTGTAGATATGCCATATACGTGTGTACATCGTGTTGTCTCTCTCTCTCTCTCTCTCTCTCTCCGTCGCGTTTGTACTCTGTCTGCTCGACCAACGTATAAGCATGCACGCTCGTGCATACATGTACAAACATATATACATATATACATACATACATACATACATACCTACCTACCTACCTACCTACCTACCTACATACATACATACATACATACATACATGCACACATGCATGCATGCATGCATACATGCATACATTCATGTATACACATACATACATACATACATACATACATACATACATACATACATGCATGCATACATACATACATTCATACATACATACATACATACATACATACATATATATACACATACATAATGTATATCGATGTATGCATGCATGCATGCATGCATGCATGCATACATACATACATACATACATACATATATACATACATACATACATACATACATACATACATGCATACATACATACATATATATATATACACACACATACATATATGTATATCGATGTATAATTCCCCAAGTCGTGCTTGCTGTCAGAGGCAGATACTTCGGTCACCAAGGAATCATATGGGTCTGGCGAGGATGTTCAACGTTGGCGCCAATGGCCGCCGCATGGCCGCCTCGTGTGCTGGGCGGGTCCGGCGAAGTTTCGCCACGCTGCCGTCTCGTGTCAGCCTCGTGGCTGCCTCGTGCGCTGGGTGGGTCCAGCAGAGTTCCGCCACGCTGCCGCTCGTGGCCGCTGCGTGGCCGCCTCGTGCGCTGGGCGGGTCTGGCGAGGTTTCGCCACGTTGCCACCCGCGGCCGCCTCGTGGCCGCGTCGTGCGTACGCTCCACAGATCACATCACATACGTAGATTTCAATTACAAGGAATACCCCAGCGAAGAACCCAGCCACGTGCAGTTGTGCATACCGCGTTGTTGCTACCGTTTTCTGTGGAACTCCCTATGGGACCACGAAGCATGCGAGAGTTGTGCCGTGGTGGTGGGGAGCGTATGCGAACTGTGCCACTGGGGCCTAAGGTTGAGCTCCCCATGGGGACACGAAACGCGTGACGGGTGCGCCGGAATGGGCCCGGGGTCCGCATGCGAACGTCACCAAGGAAGCCTTCGGTGCTGGCACCGGCCACGGCCCCTGGGGCCTTCAGTGGAGCTCCTCATGGGGGGACGGAACGCTGTACTGTGTGGGTGGGACCTGCGGCCGCGGCCACAGGGGACTTCGGTTGAGCTCCCCATGGAGCTACGAAACGCTGCATTGAACGGGGGGGACGCATGCGGCCGCGGCCACTGGAGCCTTCAGTGGAGCTCCCTATGGGGGCACGAACTGGGTGGGGGGGACGCATGTGGACCCTCCGACTGGAACCTTCGGTGGAGCCCATGTGGGGGCGCTAAACGTGTGAGGTGCGTGCCGACATGGGGCGGGGAGGCGCATGTGGACCCTCCCACTAGGGCCTTCGGTGGAGCCCCCTATGGGGCCACGGAACGTGTGAGGGGTGTGTGCCGGAAAATGGGGCGGGAAGACGCATGTGGACCCTCCCGCTGGGGCCTTCGGGGGAGCTCTCTTTGGGAAAAGAAACGTGTGAGGGATGTGCCGAAATAGGGCGGGGAGGCGCATGTGGCCCATCCCGCTGGGGTTTTTGGCAGACTTCCCTATGCAAGCATGAAACGTGTGAGGGGTGTGCGGACAAGGGGCGGGGAAACGCATGTGGTCCATCCCACTGGGCCCTTCGGTTGATTTTCTTATGGGGTCACGAAACATGTGAGGGTGTGCCAACATGGGGCGGGTGCCGTCGGTAGAACCCCCATGGGGGGGCACGAAGCGTGCAAGGTGTGTGCCGAAAAAGGGGAGGGGAGACGAACGTGGACCCTCCCACTGGGTCCTCTGGTGGAGCACCCTATGGGGCCACGAAGCGCGTGAGGGTGTGCCGAATTGGGGCAGGGAGACGCATGAGGACCCTCCCACTGGGGCCTTCGGTGGAGCTTTCTTTGGAAGGAAGAAACGTGTGAGGGGTGCATGGAAATGGGGCGGGGAAACCCATGTGGTCTCTCCCACTAGGGCCTTCGTTGGAGCTCCCTGTGGGGCCACGAAACGTGTGAAGGGTGTGCCGAAATAGGGCGGGGAGACGGACGTGGACACTTCCACAGGGGACTTCGGTGGAGCTCTCTTTTGGGGGAGAAACGTGTCAGGGGTGCGCCGAAAAGTCGGCGGGAGACGCATGCGGACCTCCCACTGGGGGCCTTCGTCCTGTGGGGCCACGAAACGTGCGAGGGGTGTGCCGACATGGGGCGGGAGACGCATATGGACCCTCCCATTTGGGCCTTCGGTGGATTCCCTTGGACACGAAATGTGTCCGGGTGTACCGAACTGATAGACTCATGAAGAGAGCTGCAGTAAGGATAGAGAGGAGAGGAGAGGAGAGGAGAGGAGAGGAGAGGAGAGGAGAGGAGAGGAGAGGAGAGGAGAGGAGGGGAGGGGAGGAGAGAGGAGAGGAGAGGAGAGGAGAGGAGAGGAGAGGAGAGGAGAGGAGAGGAGAGGAGAGGAGAGAGAGGAGAGGAGAGGAGAGGAGGAGAGGAGAGGAGAGGAGAGGAGAGAGGAGAGGAGAGGAGA